CTATCACCGTTAGTGTGGACGCACAAAGTCGAATTACTGTCCTTAGTGTGGACACACACGTTCGACTTTGCAATATCGATTACAAAAATTCGATGCAAGTAAAATCGAACTACTCTCGTAGTGTAGACAAGGCCTAAGGACCAACATCCTATGCTGGAAGAGCACTAGTGACAGACTCGAGAAGGGAGTCAGCTCCAGAATAATAGAGGGAAAATAAATGAAAAAAATTGGGGGAAATTCTGCATGCACTCTTAAAAAATAAGATGGGGGAACATCACCACAATTGTTTGGGAAGTATGAGCCTCTGAGTCATGTAACCTAGTCCCCTGAATCATGGCAAGACAGACAGTCCTCTCTAAAGTTTCCCCAAATATTTCAGTTACAGCCTTAAACATTTCTAATGATTGTGCAAATCTAACAATTATAAATTTCAAATTATTCTAGAACCTTCTTTGGCAGCTTATTCCCTTGTATAATCCAGTTTTTACTAAATATTTCACATAAATGTTCTTTGCTGTAGCCAACATGTTATTTCTTATTTAATCATCTGAAACTGACAGTTAAAGTTTCAGGTTGGTAAATTTATTTAAGCAGAAAGTGAGTCCTGACCTTAATTTTGGCAGCACTTCTACTGGAAGTATTGATTAAAAACAAAATTCTAATCCAAGTGAATCTGGATTTTAATTGATATTTTACACCCTAATATCCACTTCAGATTATTTGTTTAATCAAAGTGGTTATTTTAGAATTCTAAGCAACTTGTTATTGCATTAGCAACAGCTTATTAAAAGTTAGGAAAATAATTCCCACCAGAACCTAAAGAAATTTAGGGTAGGGTCATATAATGGATAACTAAGCTAATAGTGAAACTACAGAATTAAGATTTTCTGTAGAAAAACCAAGATATTTTGAGCATTTTTTTAAACTTACCTATATCACAAGCAAATTCATAGATGTGTGGTTTCTGCAACAGCCCTAACTGGCACATACAGGTAAGAGCATTGAGGGCCTTAAAAATGACAAATTCTTCAGCATCACTGAGACCTTGCTGGAGTAGAGGTTTTAAAATTGATGAACTTTGCCAGCCAACATAAGCAGCAACACCTAAAAGCCATAAAGTGTTATTGTAATGGGCAAGGTAACACCCCCAAAACGCTAAGACAGCTGGGTAACAAACACTATATACAAAGGCAGTCCACATCTTCCTGGAAGTGATTTGATCATTTGTGTGGGGGTGGGGGCAGAACACCACAAATTCAAACACAAAAATGATAAGCTCATGCTATATTTGCAAAAGGCAAAGGCAAAACTCACAATAACTTCAATGGTGCAACATCAGGGCCATACTGAACCTCCACAAAATCAAGAAAGCTGAAATGCTTCATACTTCAGGCTACTCTCCTCCATCAGTGTTTGCAGTTGGAAGCCAAAGAAACTTGTGCCCTTAAAATTACTTAGGCTCTTAAACACATACCTAGGCACCTAACTTGCAGTCCCTATTTTTGAACATTTGGGTCTGTGTGTATAACAAAGTTGGCAATAACTTTGTTAATGTACGGAAAGACTAAATAACTTTTAACTGTTAACAAGGAACCAATTTTGTTTTGAAATGAGAGATTTTATGCCACTCAGAAAAGTTTAATAAAAATACAATTTTAGCCCGCTGGTGCTGCAAACACATTTAAGCACATGAATAATCCTATTGAAGTGAATGGGATTATTCATGCAAATAAAGCTCTGTATCTGCTTAACCCAATTTTTTGGGGGGAGGGAGCTAACAGTTTTGTGTAATTCAAATACGATACTTTTTAAAAAGAAACAAAACAGCATTTACAGTTAAGTTCATTATAAATTTTAATCTAAAGTTGCAGCTGCACAAATTTTCATATTAGTTTTACACAGCCTCGACCTCACCTAAATCAATTTTTTTATTCAACAGATTTAAAAGGTCTTGATTTAAATCACTCCATCCTGCTACCAAGAAGAAATAAAAAGACATGCATGAGCATTAAATTGCTTGCCTCTATGTCAGAGTTACTAAAATCTCTACAGGAGAAGCCCTCTTCTGTGACTGTAAAAATCTGTATGAACCTGCAGCAGTGTATTCAATTAACTGATTACATCTAAGCATGTTTCAGCCAAGAAACCGAGTACTTACCAACTATGCTGTCAAAGAAAGCTCCCCGAAGATGCCAGTCATTCTTATCATTCAGGAAGGTGATCATATGAGATAGGAGGACATCATTGGCTTTTTGACGTCCAAAGAAGACACAGAGACGTGTTATTCCATTTTCCATTAGCGTCTGTTTCACAATGTTTTCTGGGTCACTCAGCAGAGTAACAACTTTTTGCTGGACCATTTCATGCAAAGCCTGAAGCTCTGCAAGAGACACACAATAGAAAATTGAGTCAACATGAAACAAAACGTGTATTTGTCAGCCACCATAAAATTAATTAAAATAATATGCAATTCTGAAGGACAGCTGACTCGGTGAAACAGTAATGCAACAGAATGACTAGGATTCTGAAGCCATGCTTATAAATGGATTCATACTCAGGCTCTGAATTGATAGAACTGGGGAAGCCATAGAAGCGTATTTCAGGGATATGGATAAAAACATACCCCAAACAGTCTAGTCTGTGCTTCCATTGAGGTGATCCACTTATCGCACTTATGGCTGAAGTAAGGACGTGGGAAAGCATCAAAATGAGTCAATTAGAGTATGTCTACACAGACAAAAAAAACCTGCGGTTGGCCTGTGTCAGTTGACTCCGGCTCATGGGGCTCAGGCTGCGGCGCTGTTTCATTGCTGCGTGGTTTTCCAGACTCAGGCTGAAGCCCAGACTCTAGGACCATGAGGGGTGGAAGAGTCTCAGAGCTTGGGCTCCAGCCTGAGCCCAGAAGTCTACATGGCAATGAAACAGCCCTGCAAGCCCGAGTCGGCTGGCATGGGCCAGCCGTGGGTTTTTCTTTGCTGTGTAGACATACCCTTAGGGCAGGTCTACACTTACCTCTGTAGCGATTGATCCAGCAGGGGGTCGATTTATCGTGTCTAGTGAAGACGCGATATATCGACCGCCAAGCACTCTCCCATCGACTCCAGTACGCCACCAGAGCAAGAAGCGTAGGCGAAGTCGACAGGGGAGCGTCAGCAGTTGACCTACCTCAGCGAAGAAACTGTGGTAAGTAGCTCTAAGTACGACAACTTCAGCTACACTATTTTCATAGCTGAAGTTGTGTAACTTAGGCCAAAGTAGCCCCCCCACTCCAGTGTAGACCAGGCCTTAGAGACAACGGTTCAACAGCAAACACAAAATGCTTTGTGGTAACAGAGTAATTGAAAATTCACTTGCTTGTCAGTAGCTTCACCTTTCCTAAACTGATGGCAGAGTTGAGGTTGTGTATTTTTAACAATCTGGACAGATGATCTTTTAGGAATATGGAGATAAATAAGCAGCATTGAAAGAAATCAGAGATTTCCAATTTCATTAAATAAGTGAGCAATTATCCCCAAGCTACAAAGAGTGCTCTACAATGGTAAACCACTATAACCATTCATTGCCAAGTCATGTGCTTGGGTATTTCTAGTCCATGGTTTAAATAAAAGTGTAATTTTACAAAGAATTTCTAACTATTAGATGGAACTTGATAATACAGGGCCAAGCCCCAAGAGATAATGAGTAAGGCTATGATTTGGTCGTGGAAGTCACAGAATCCATGACTTCCAGGGACCTACGTGACTTCAGCCTATGTGGTCGGGAGCTGCAGGATGCCCCACCACCCCGGGTGAACCCCGCAGCACCTAGAACGAGTCCAAGTCCCGCTGCCCCCCACACACCTGTCTTGTAACCCGATATATATCTTTTAAAATAATGTAAAACTGTGAGGGCTCTGGGGTGGGGCTGAGGATGAGGGTTTGGGGTGTGGGAGGGGCTTGGGCAGAGGGGTAGGGTGAAGGATGAGGGGTTCATGGTGCAGGAGGGCTAAGGCAGAGGGTTGGAGTGCAGGGGGGATGAGGGTCTGGCTGGGGGTGCGGGCTCTGGGGTGGGGTAGGGCCACGGATGAGGAGTTTGGGGTGCACGCAACCCCCCCAACCCTCTCCCCTCCGGCAGCACACTCACCTCGCACCATTGTCACCGCACATGCTCCTAGGACCCCTCTCAGGTGCAGGAAGCCCCCTTGCCTCCCTCTGTGGTGGATGCGGGGGCAGGACTGCCATCAAGTGTGCGAATCCTCCTACCGCTGCCCCTCACTATAGACTCACTGGGGGTGGGGAATGGGGCTGCCCTTGCCCAGCGTGAGGCAGGAGTGGTGACTGTGGGTGCGGGAGCTCCTGTGCTAGTGGAGGGTCCGTCCGAGGCGGAAGGGCAGGATTAGGGTCAGGGTCAGCCTGCCCTAGCACTAGTGGTTGGGGGGGGGGCACTAGGACCCTGCAGCAGCAACTGATGCCAGGAGCCAGCAGAGCGGAGTGCAGTGTGGAGCTGCAGGGGGCAGCCACCCACTTCCCAGGGCGCAGGCAGGGACACTCAGTGGAGGCACGCAGGCGTGGGGGAGAGACCTGGCCCCGAACATTAGTGGAGCCGGGCCCCCGCGCCCTGAATATTGTTGGAGCCTGGGCCCATATAGCTTGCCACCCTGCCCGCAGCTCCTGGCCGCCGCAGCTCCTGGCTGACATGGGAGGCGGGGGCCCCCCACAGCTCTTGGCCCCACAGGCAGCGGGGGAACCCTGGGGCTGCAGTCAGCAGGAGTGCCCCGCAGCCCCCAACTGCTGCAGGCAGCTCCTAGCCCCTGCGCAGCTGCCCCGCTTGTGGCAGTGTGGGGACCCCAGAGATCCTCATTTTGTCACTGATATTTTTAGTAAAGTCACAGACAGATCAGAGCTTCCATGAATTTTTCTTTTTTTGCCCGTGACCTGTCTGTGATTTTTACTAAAAATCTCTGTAACAAAATCTTAGCCTTAATAATGAGCACCCAGAATTGAAATCAACAGAAAATGTAAGAACTCAGCACTACAGGCTTTGACCCATAAGTAAGCAACCCATACATAAGTTACATTACCTGTGTCATAGTTTTCACTGGGATGTGACACTTCATCCATTTCTTCACTGGTCGGCTCATTTTCCATGTTCAGATTTTTCAGCTGTACTAATTCCAGAAATCTCAGAGCCGTTTCTGCTAATAGTGCTATGTTTTCTGTAATGATAAACATTTACAACCATAATTTTTTTTTCATTTTAAATCTGGTGCTTGCAAATGGAAAGAATTACTACTACTGACAAGAACCAGGCACTGTGGGCAAATGCTATACTACATGCTCTGTCAACACAATGTGACCTGGTACATTCCTGCAATTGTAGCTCCAGTAAAACTACCAGGTGAATCAAACTGTGCGGTACTTTAGTGATCTGAGAAGTTGGAGAAGAAATGAAGAAGTTAAAACGAAACCAGGTTCATTGATAACATAAGCAGAACTATTTTTACAGAACGAAAAAGCTAATAGACTAGCCCAACAGGTCACCCAACCTCAGGCTAATGATTAATAACCTGATAGAATTAAATGCCATTAAATTCAAATTAACCAACAGGATAGTAAGTGCTTGCATCACAACAAATTTGTTCAGGGACATGAATGTTTGTGGGTAAAACACAAACCTTTGTAGAATGTCTAGACTAGCATTTACTATCAGCTTGGTTAACTCGAGTTAATTGACAATCAGTTAACTCACCTTTAAAAACAAGACCACAAAGCCTGGGTATGGCAGAAGAGTGCAGCAGGCCCTGCTTACCCACCCAGATACAGCCTGACTGTTGGGGTAAGTACTGAGAACTTCCCTTGTTACCATTCCTGCCTCTCTGGGGAAAGAGGGGTTCACTGTTGCTGCCTCTAGTGCTTCCAAAGGTCCTTGTTGCCACTCTGAGGTGGTGGGGGGGCCTTGCCTCTCCTGCCACAAGGAGCCCTGTGCTGTAGTGTTCCTAGGGCCTCAATCCAGCTCTGGCAAAGGAATACTGACATTACCAATATGCAACATTCTACAAGCTGCTTTATTAGAAAACATTATATGGCTTTGCATGTACAACTGAAATAAAAGAGTAGTTTCTACCAAAAAGTTATGTCACCTAAAGTAGTGAGCACTGATAGTGCTGCTGACAAACTTTTACAATTAAAAGCATGAAACTCCCACTAAAATCAACAGCAACTTCATTTATGAACATAAGAACAGCCATACTGGATCAGACCAAAGGTCCATCTTGCCCAGGATCCTGTCTTCTGGCAGTGACCAATGCCAGGTGCCCCAGAGGGAATGAACAGAACAGGTAATCATCAAGTGATCTATCCCGTCGCCCATTCCCAGCTTCTGGCAAACAGAAGTTAGGGACACCATCTCTGCCCATCCTGGATAATAGCCATTGATGGACCTATCCTCCATGATTGTATCTAGTTCTTTTTTGAAACCTGTATAGTCTTGGTCTTCACAACATAAGGTTGACTTTGCGTTCTGTGAAGAAATATTTTCTTTTGTTTGTTTTAAACGTACTGCCTATTCATTTCATTTGGTGACTCCTAGTTCTTGTTATGAGAGAGTAAATAACACTTCCTTATTTACTTTCTCCACACCAGTCATTATTTTATAGACCTCTATCATATCCCCCTTTAGTCATCTCTTTTACAAACTGAAAAGTCCCAGTCTTATTAATCAATCCTCGTATGGAAGCTGTTCTATACCCCTAATCATTTTGTTGCCCTTTTTTGAACCTTTCCCAATTCCAATATAATCTTTTTTGAGATGGGGCAACCACATCTGCACGCCGGATTCAAGATGTGGGCGTACCATGGATTTATATAGCGGCAATGTGATATTTTCTGTCTTATTATCTATCCCTTTCTTAATAATACCCAACATTCTATTAGCTTTTTTGACTGCCTCTGCACATTATGGATACTTCTCTGAAAACATCCACTCAATGATGCCAAGATCTCTCTCTTGAGCAGTAACAGCTCATTTAGATCCCATCATTTTATATATATAGTTGGGACTGTTTTTCAATGTGCATTACTTTGCATTTATCAACATTGAATTGCCATTTTGTTGCCTAGTCACTCAGTTTTGTGAGATCCCTCTTCACAGTCTGCTTTGAACTTAACTATCTTGAATAGTTTTGTATCATCAGCAAATTTTGCCACGTCACTGTTTACCCCTTTTTCCAGATCATTTATGAATATATTGAACAGTACTGGTCCCATTACAGACCCCTGGGGGACACCACTATTTACCACTCTCCATTCTGAAAACTGACCATTTATTCCTACTCTTTGTTTCCTATCTTTTAACCAGTTATCAATCCATGAGAGAACCTTCCCTTTCATCCCATGACAGCTTACTTAAGAGCCTATGGTGCGAGACCTTCTCAAAGGCTTTCTGAAAATCTAAGTATACTATATCCATTGGATCCCCCTTGTCCACATTTGTTGATCCCTCAAATAATTCTAGTAGTTTGATGAGGCATGATTTCCCTTTACTCAAAAACCATGTTGACTCTTCCCCAACAAATTATGTTCATCTATGTGTCTGACAATTCTGTTCTTTACTAGAATTTCAACCAGCTTGCCCGGTACTGAAGTCAGGCTTACTGGCCTGTAATTACCAGGCTCATCTCTGGAGCCCTTTTTAAAAATTGGTGTCACAATAGCTATCCTCCAGTCATTTAGTAGAGAAGCTGATTTAAATGATAGGTTACAAACCGCAGTTAGTAGTTCTGAAGGAACTCAAATGTGAAATTGCAGAGCTCTTGGGTGAATACCATCTAGTCCTGGTGACTTATTACTCTTTAGATTATCAATTTGTTCCAAAACC